GTTCAAGAAAATTCAATGAAAGTTTAAGGATAACCATTTTTTTCTAATTAATAGCACATTAGTTACTTCTTCCGTATGCATTTTCATGAGAACKTTATCTGTGATATTTTCAAGATCGTCAAAAGGAAATCCAATCCAATCCATATGGACGACCTGGCGTCACGTGATGTGATCAAAATGCATTTCCAAGCAAAGTAGAAAAACAAAAAGTATAAAAGCGATAAAACTAAATTAACTAAAAATAAAATACTATTGGAAGGCCAAATTTATAGAATAAGTGCGCRGTGAGCATTGCTGAGACCGCAATTGCAACAACTGGACTCAAATGTTATAACTACTGGACAAAAATATGGCATGGTCTCACACCATAACCATTCTGACCACAAAGAAAACTAGCTATAAGGCGGGTTATTATTTTTGTATTCAGCAATGCTCAAAAGTGTGTGATATCAGATATGATTTTGCTTTGCCAGCGTGTAAATTCTTTGAATCCAAGGAACTTCTTCCAGATCCAGATCCAGATTTTTTAAAATAATTATAATATTAATGGACGTGATTTATATGTATAGTTTAAAACACGGGCCTTCGAATCTTTATACCTGATAAAACACGATGATCTCAAGTGTTTTAAACGGCTTCAAAAAAATCCAACACTAATTTGAAACTCAAAACGTTAAAATTCTTGGAGAAATTGACGTAAAAATAAATTTTGAGGTAAATGGGGCAAACTGATCATGCGCCAATCACTCTACAAAGCACTCTTGTCATCCCACATTAAATACGCATAAAGTAAAACACATCAGCTGTTGGCTGGTTACTGAATCGGTTGACATCGTGCATTGGTCAATGATCAGGTGTCAAAYCTGAGACCTTTGCTATGTTCATTGACCTTTATATCTGATAAAGTTCACCCTTATTAGTATTCTTTATATAAAGAATACTAATATAAGGATGACCTTTATCAGGTATAAAGGTCWATGCATGTGACTAAATAAGCTCATTCTATTGGACTARTAACTCATTAATTATATATGAGTTTTTGAATGCTATTTATCTAGTTATACTATATTTATATAGTTTTATCAAACTATTCCTACCTGTAAGCTGTTTTCGTCTMCTGGTATTGRTAATTGAAAGTAAAACCATCCCTGTGTAACTGATGTATAATGAAAAACGGCTTTAGAATAATGAGGAGTTTTATAAAAGATTTTCAGCTTCGTTCCTTTTCCGTTATTCATCCAGAATCGTAAGCATATCCATCCATCTGATTTTGGGTTTAAAATCGGACTTGTTATTTTGCTAGACACATCGTTTGAATACCAAAAACTCAAATAAAAGTTGTTCTCGTCTATAAGATAGAATAAAACGCATGGCAATTAATAGTCATCGAGATAATACTATTAGTACTAAAATGCT